ACCAAACTAAAAAGAGCACAAATATATGGAATAATCTAAGTTATTTCAGCAAAATCATATTACTCTGCTAAACAGAGGAAGCATTTATTACTCCATGCTTATGAATTCCATACGTATCAGTGGTTTCAGCAGTTTTGCCTCAGATAAAAGTTCTCCCAGTGGCACACAGACTGATTAAAGTGCTCAACACACCTAGTCCCTTTGTATATTAAAAGGACATTATCTCAGTTTTTAAAAAAAGAAAAAAAAAAAAAAGACAAGAACGTTTCCCTTTTACCTAGGAACCAGAAGAGGATAGCCATTTCACCCAGCCTTCCTTGATCTATACTTAAACACGAGTACTTGGGAACATTCCTAATATTTCTCTTTTTCAAGTTGCAACCTAGGTATTCCCATCCTGACATTACAGCTGAGCCAGCAGCCTCTCACCTGCACTAAGGGTGGTTTCCAGCGCAAGTTCTTTAGCGGAGCAGGAGTGAAATGGAAAGACCCAGTAGGACGTTTCTTAAGCAGCAGCCTAACTCCAGCAGGATTCTCTCGCAATTTTGCCACCAGATTTTTTAGTTGCCATCCAACCTGGAAGAGAATAGACACATCTTTTATTTAGTATTGCTTTTCTGAAAGCAAACAAAAAAGAAAAACCCAAACCTCTCAAGTCAAACTCTCTGTTTTAAACATGAATGTAAAGAGAGAAAAGAGATCCAAAAGAGCCAGAATGAAGAAAAAAGTTGGAAAGCTACTTTTTTGGAAGGTGGTTCTTTGTTTTGTTTCAAAGGTAGATCTTTACTTTAAGCTGTAAATTAAACACTGAGACATGAAGCAATGCTCTCTATACCTCAGCTTGGATGTGAGTAACGCAGAGATTCACAGTTAACCACTTTTGTCATGTTTGTTTCTCACATTGAAAGGTGTTCCTTACCTGTGCTAAGCAAAAATGTAATCACTTGACCTAAGTTCCCAGATGCAAATGATTCAACAAATACCTGGGGCTTTTTAAAGCTGTTTTTGTCTTAATTTCAGGAGATAGTAACAATGAATTTTAAAAGAGCCTTAAATACAACACGCAATATTTCAATAGGAAGCACACAGCATTTAAACATGAAATTGCATAGTTATTTTATCCAAATATTGTAAAATTTGTAAATAATAACATTTGTCTTGAAAACAAAAAGTTAAAAAGCCTCAAAGTGTTCAACAGGAAAACACCAGAACCACCTCCTGACCCCATCCATTCAGAACCTGTGGGGAGCGACCTTTGCAGAGCAAGGATAGGAGACGTTTGGTAAGGCTGTTTGCTACTAACCACAGTTTGCCGATTAACCTGGATCACTTCATCACCAGCATGAATCTTCTGAGATCGATCAGCAGGGGACTGCAAACAGGAAAACAAGAGGCATATGCTTCAGCAGGTTTTCTTCCCTCCCATAACAACCCCCAACAAGCTAAGTCAAAGGTTGCACCTATGATAAAGAGCATTGCTGAAAATTTTCACACAGCTAGATCACACATTACATCTGTTGGCGACCTGAGACATGCAAACTAATCCAGTTTATGATTTATTTTTTACACTGGGGGAACCACAGGGAAAGGGAGAAGGCATAGCCTACATCTGTCACATAACAAATTGTTCTTAAGTCATGGGATGGTCTCCACTGTCCATTTGCCTCCAGTTTGTACTGGGGTTTCAGACAGCAGTGGGAGAGGACTGAAGAGAATAATTCTGTCCTAACACAGCTGCTATCCTAAACTTAGCTTTCAAATAAATGTATAGTGCTTTAAAAAAAAAAATACACTACGATTTTTGGATGTACAGAACAAAGGACCAAAAGCTCTCCAACCCACAGAATAGATCCATTGCACTTTCCCTTTTTGTTTCCTAATGTAAATAAGCGCTACCAACTTTCAGGTGAAATTACCTGCCTGCATCGTCTAGGTCAACAAATAAAAATAGATGCTTGCACACATCAAGTGTGCGTAGACAGGTATTTTTCAAATAACTATCTAACAATAATACACCTTAAACTACAATTTTCTTGGAACAAAAACCAAGCTCTAGGGAACCATTATCAAGGAACAGCTAAATGTGTCAATATTTATTTAGATTAATCTACAGCTTGTGCCATGTACCAGCTATCACTGCAGTTGTTAAAAACAGTCTGGTTGCTATAACACACCAACTCTGACCAGCCTTGACAACACCCAAAGCGCACAGGCATACTACCTTCGTATACTGCACCTGGTCACTGAACAACTTCTCCTCCCATTCCCCCCACCCTATGAGTTACCACCCAGAAGCAGGCCAGCTCTTCCTAGTGACTCCAGAACTAAGCACTTGGATTAAGGACTACCTTCATCACACCTTCATCGTTACATCTTCAGAGCTCAAGTAACTTATTAAAAGGAACTGTAGGAATAAAGAGTGCAACAAGGGAAGAAGACATGGGGTAATGTGTGAAAGGCTCCAGCTAGCTATCAGGAGTAACCCCATTTTTTCATTGTCTTCTTGCTTCCTCTGAGAGGAAATGCCTCCGTGGAAGGCTGCATATACATATATATGAGTCAACCAAGATCATGAAAAAATAATCAAAATAATCCAAGTCAAGTTTGTGAAGAACAAAGCTCATTTCAAGCTGTCCTTTCAGCGATCAACAGCCTGCCTGGGCGTGGGGGGGAGGAAGCAGCCCTTGCAGAGAGGACTCCTACAACAAGTGCCAGCTAGCACAGCGGACACTGCAATCACATTGTGAGAATGAAGGAAAGAGCAAAGTTTACATATAGGCCAATGTGACGCAGGAAGCACAACTCAGGAATCCTTTTGACTGACTGGTATCAAATACATGGACTGCCCCAGGCCTTGCAATGTACTGTACCTGTTAGTTTTGGGGCGTTATTCCACTGCATTCCAACACACCAGATTCTGGGGATGGCTACTAAAATACCATTCCAAACCTAGCAAGAAAATTGAGCTAAGACCCAGCCTGGGTCATCTAAATGATCCCATACCACCAGAAAGACATCAGTTGTCTGCAGATCTCTCAAGTTACTTCTGAAGTTTTGTTGCTCCAAAGGAAAGAGTTTTCCCAAGGGAAGAACCCATGTTCACAAAAAAAAGCAGACATTTAGGTCAAAACTCAAAGCTACAGAAGCAATACAGCCCCACTCCTGGCCTCCAAAATGAGATCTATATGCATAGGCAACTTGTCTGCAGCCAACATTATATTCTTTCACATTTATCAGATGTTGAAATTCCTGTCAGAGTGGACTTGGTCTCTGTTGCAGATCCTATACGGAGTTATGCCAGGGCAATGGCATAAAAGCCATAAAAGCTTTCAGTTTTCACTCTGAACTGCAAGCACAGATTTCCTCCCACTGCTCCCTGGCCCCCAGGGCTTGGCAAGGGTACAACTAGAACCACTAGTTCTTTCCTATTCACAAAAAAAATGAAAAAGGCATAGCTGCAAAAGCCAAGTTCCTCCACTCTTTTTTTCTTTCAGCCACTGCTCCTGTAGAGCAGCATATCTGACAACACCACTGCATCACCCACCAGCCTCAGCTGCGGGCCAGAGGTCCACTGCAATGACTGCCCAGAAGTCATTCTTAATAGTCTCAGCTACAGAGAACTCACAGTGTAAGAATAAAACAAGCAACCATCTGCAGCAAAAAAGTAGTTGCCTATCATTCCAACTATTTCCTTCCAGCAGACAGCTCTTAGGCTTACTTTTTCAGTCTTTTTACTCTGCACATTAATTTTGTCACTGGACAGCTCTTTGATTTTATTATTACTGAATTTAGCACACTACCACCTAAACGTTCCCAACAGGAGACATGGCCTTTGCCAGCAGAGAGCAAACACGTTCAAGACTTTAAGCAAGATACCATAAGCGCTCAAAACAGTGATACAGTAACTTATTAAAGCAATTATTTTAATGCCAAGCATTTGAACTCACTCATGTACTTGCAGAAACTGGTTTAATTAGACGAACAGTTAAACATGCAGACAAAATATTTACAAATTGTGGATAAACAAATGATGCATCACACAGTTTTTAAAGCAGTAATATCATGAAAGTTGTGTGTAAACCAGAAAAAAAGTAAAAAGGTTAGACTAACTCAAAGCTACTGTCAGATAGCCTTAATTAATCTACATTTACTTGACTTACGTTTTCTGTAGTTCCAGTAACTACATGTAACCCATCATAAGTTGATTTGATGTACATTCCCTAAATGTAAGTAGAAAATGAAAACCAAGTTTAAAGGCAAAACAAACACATAACCTACCTGATAAAACAAATGTTGTCAACATACTCAAAACATTATTAAAAACACTAACAATTCACATATTTTCCCTAGAAAAGTGTGTGGTCTAATAGCACAACATTCTAAACCTCTTCACAGATCACTTTTACTGATAACAGCTTAAAACACCTAATACATGGAATGCAATTTAGACACACTGTCTGGTTGGTAGTACCAAACACTGCTGTTTTGCTGCCTTGTCAGTCTTTGGCCTTGAACAAAACTTTTTCCTTACTGCCCTGTCTGCAACTGAGAATCACAGGTTTTACTACATGGCCATCAGGTCTCCAAACAAAGCACACTTACATAGTGGGCTACAAATATTGCCTATGTGTTCTTTTACAATTTCTCCTTGCAAGTCAATATACAGACTGCCTTGTAACCACAGTGCTGACACAAGCAATAAAAGCTCTGGCAGAACCAAGTATTTGTGGCTGTATATGTTAACGTTGAGCATGAATGCAAGGACAAACTCAGATGAAGTGGGTGTTGACTATGAACACCAACTTAAAAATCACCAACAGGCTATTAACTAACAACTGCACAGATTTCCCCACAACAGGTGACCAGGTGCTTTGTTGTAGCTTGTGCATTAACAAAGATGTCCCCATAATTTCAAGAATGCATGACTGATTCAGTCAAACCCAGTGGCCTAGGTAAAACTACATAGCACAGCAAGACTGTAAAGCCTCCTCTAAAAGTGTTCATCTCTTCTGCCTTCGGGGTCGGTGGCAGGGAATACAAATCCACTTAAGAATTTAAATTCCCTCCAACCCATTCTAACATGTCTGTTCCCCAGCCAGAAAATCCACCAAGATAGTTTCTTATAACCAGCACTCAGCTAAGCAACATCCACTGAACAAACTAGATTCAGTAGAGTTACACAGGCCCTGAACATTTAAAATGATTTCTCATATTCCTGCTAACAGCAAACCTCAAAAATCCTCATATTCTTCTTAATCTCGCTATAAAACACACATTAAAACGTGTCTTTCAAAACACAAACATCATTTCTCATCACCTTCTCCTCCCCCAGTCCCTCCTAGAAGAAAAGCTGTTTAAGGCAACCTGCAGAAATAAACCAATTGATTTCACAAGCATCTGTAAACTCCCCAATATCCTGCTTAAGTCACAAATCTGCAACAATTTACCATCAAAAACAGTATTTGAGATCAAACTTATTAACATGCATACCCATCTCTGGCAGCCACTCCAGCACACCACCTGACAACCTTCAGAGTTCCTCCCCATGCCTCGTTCTGTTCCCCATAGGATATTACCTGTTTTGAAAAATCTTGCTATACAGACACATGCACGTGGCTCACAAGACTACCTATTAAACACTCCAGAATCAGTTCTTACCAGGCCTTCTCCAGGTTTAATGTTGGTTAAGTGAACCTCCTCCAAACATGCACACTGGCTCATCAAGGGATCTGTAGTTGATCGGATGGCTTTATCGCAAATGCCATTTAAAGTCTTGGCCTACAATGAGAACATACAAAAAAGTTACAAAATTTCTCTCCTGGCTTCTTCCTCTTCCAGTTTTCAAAAATGGAAAGGAAATGAGTTCTAAAACTTGGTCCACTAATAAAGCACAGTTAAGAATCACTGAAATAAAAGACTCACTTGTACAGATTCATTCTACAGCATGTTTACCTTCTTACTGTAACCTAGCACAAACAACATGTTTCCATTAGTGCCACCTCATGATCACTAACAGATGCCAACACATCCTGTGCTTAAAAAAAACCAACACACCAAATATAGTAAAAAACCTGGGTTTGGGGTTTGTTTGCTTTAACCAAAACATAACCCATTAAAGTATCGAAACAGTTTGATAATTTCTTGTGTGAACAACTGGCAGTTCGTCATATTTTTCTTTATTTCTGCTATGAGAATAAAATCAGCCACGTGTCAAAAAGTGAGGTGCTGGCCACTGGCTTATCTGCACAAAGCTTTACAGTATAAGGCAGGACATATAGCACTTAAGGGTTTCAGCATTACTTTTCTCCACTGCGCCTCTGAACTGACCTCTTCTGGAATGCTGATGCAGGCAAGGTTCATATTTCCTTTTGACCAACACATAACTGATCCTAAGCCAACATTATAACTAAATGTGAATTCTGACCTTGCACGTGCGTCAGGAAAGTCAGAGGCAAAACGGCTTTGTCTTGTAGAACTTTTAGCTAGCAGAATGGCTAATTAATCAGGAAAAAAAAAATCATAGTCAAAAAAAAAATCTATGCCCTCCCTACACTCACAAATTTCATTAATGCCCCACAACGTGTTTTGGGTCTTGATGGTACCTGAAGCAATGCTGAAACTCAAAGTAAGTTCTAAAAGCATAAAGGATGGGGGAGGGAGGATTAGGACAGTACAGTAGTGAGTAGTACACAATTTGGGAAGACCAAGATAAGACACCTTTCACAAGGGGTTTGAATCCTTTAGTCAAAGTAGACATATGCAATTATAGGATGAGGGGAGCTGTCTCGTAGGAAGACATTGGTTTGGATCACAGTCGCCCCCAGAAACAATAGTTCCAATGTTCTTTGTTTTGTTTTACATCAGAGTTATAGAGCAGCAATAAAATAAATCAAAACAATGCTTAAGTGTGAATGTGAGGAACTGCTCAAACAAGGGAACTCCAAACAACAATGCCTACTTCCAGAGTGGGTGTGCACAAATGGAAAAAGAAAGATACAAAAAACTCCCTTTTACATGGTCTCTTTATTTATGGACAAAATTATTTTTAGTTATTGTGCTACTAAATTCCTAAGCATCTATGAGCTAGCGGAAGACCTTATCAAAGAGCACAGCCTGGTTCATGTCAAAAGCAGGAAGCGATGATTAACTGTTACAAAATATAAAAAGCATTCCATTACGCTCCTCGTTTGGTCACAAGGCTGCTTCAAACAACCCTCAAAACTCAAGCTCAAGTACAATCAGAGGCAGAACTTGAGTTCTGCGGCAGGACAATTCTTTTACATGACGAAGCTTTATAAGGCATAGTGTCTGCTTATTAAGTGTATATTACATGCATAATCGCTTTATTTAGCCTATGATCATTCTACAGTACTACCCCTCCTTTAAAAATCTGAGGTCTAAATTATCTTGAAACAATACCTGTGCAGTGAAACTTTAAGGAATATTTTATTCCGTGCTACTACACACATTACCTGTCTGTTCCAATTTCATTGATTTCCTCTACAATAAAGGATATTCACAAAACAGCCCATAAGAATGTTTACTTGCATGATATGCTTGTATATGTGCGATTGGAAAGCTGCTGGAGTACAGTCAGCGTAGAAGCCATTGAAATAAATGTCAATGCAGGCAGCTGAGTTTCAACAGAAACACATACTTACTACAGTCTGAACTTTATCTTCCATGTCAGCCACAGTGCAGTCCTAAAAACAAAAACAAGAACAAAAGCCCTGCATTAACCAATAAACATGTAAACACGTCATCTTTGAAAATTTTGCAAAACTGCCATTTTAACCTCAAACTGAAAGAGTCATTCATGCTGCAGAGACTGACCAGATTAGTTTCATCCAGTAGAGCTCAAATATACTGTTAAACAACTATTTTCTGGCCCTGGTAGAAAGCAGTAATAGACCTTGAAAACTAGGAGAACATGGGATTCAATTACAGCAGCTGACTTTTCCAGAAAGCATAACCCTACACAATAAAACTAGACTCTTAGAAGGCTGCGCACATGAGCTTGCCTTATACTGATAAACCTGGACTCAGGCACCAAAATGGATCTAAAACATGTTGTTAAAAAAAGAATGAAAAGTCATTTTTAAAAAAAATACTCTGTGACATTCCTGAGGGCCAGAAGACTGCACACAAAGCATTATTTACACAGCCCAGGTACAAGAATCTTTGAACTGCAACAAATTCACGTAACAAACTACAGAAGTCACTGTTTTCTGCAAGATGAGCTGAACTAGAAAATGTTATTAGAAGCTTGGATTAAAAAGGTAAAACAGCAAGTAAATAATGAAACAAGAATTACAATATCTATAAGGACAAAACCCCCAAATGCCAAGCATTTAAACAAGCTTAAATTCCAAGGTATTTGCCCTTGACATCTCAACCTTCATAACTACCATAGTGCCCAAGAGATATATCCTGGAGCTGTGAACTGAAACTGTGCCATGTTTCTGACCATCCTCAACACTTCTTCTGTTCCTTCCTACCTCTATTCTGTGCTTTTAAATACAGAAATAAAAACACAAAAAAAAAAAAACCAAACAACCAAAACCATACAGTCCTCTAGATACAGACAAACGGCTTAGTTATGTTCTCTTTTTATGTCTTCATAAGTCTTAACACCCTGTTCACTGTCGCAATGACCACCAAGGACTGAAGTCACACCTTTTACATTCTGTCAAAAGCTTCAAGACACTGTTACAAAATTTAGACTCTGTTGTTGTGCATGAGCATAATTTTTCTCCGCTAAATGCATCTGCATGAATCAATAGTGAATGTCACCTATCATCATGCAGCCCAATATTATGAAGTCCTTCTGTTTCTCTTAAAATAAGCAGTGTAAACAGACATTAACCTTGAAGTTTACCATAGAAACAGTGGAGTAAGCTCTGTTCCTTGTATCTATATAGCTGTCATTAAAGTAAATTGACATCTTACTGCATTCCCACCTAGCTTTATTATTCACCCACTTTTATACCTCATTTATGATCATGCAGAGCAGCAATGGTTCCATGAAAAGCCCACTGGTCTCTTCTCCACTATGAGAACCGATCATTTATTCCTACACTCTGTTCCCTAGTAAAAAATACTTTTGAAGCGTAAAAACTCACTTAAAGATTTTTTCAATTGTATCTCTCTTTTCCATGTCAGTGGACTCCTTCAGACCATTCTAATGTATCTACAGTGTCCCAGTACAAAATAGTGTTGATTCTTCCACCGTTAATTATTTTTTCTCATAGGCACCAAACCCATTCTTTATTATAGCTCATATCAAATTGGCAGAGAGGTACTCTGAGGCTTTTTAAAAGGCTACGGTTGTATTTGACAACTTCCATTCCCCTGCCATCAAAGGCTGATTTAACTGACAGATTAGACACCATTTGTTAGTAGCTTTATTAATACAGTTCAGCAACCTCGTATCTCAGTTCCTGTAGCACTCTTGGGTGAACACCATCTGCTGCTAGAAACACTTAGTGTTCTACTTCACAATCCACAAATCTGTAGCTGTAAATCACTGGCTTTCTGCAATTGCACACACAGAGTCCAAACAAGAAAGGCTTTCAGCAGCAAGCCAAACTTGTGCGCCTTTGAACTTATAATACCCAGACACTACCCTTTCACAACAATCCAACTGATATAATTGGGTGTCATCATAGCTTGACAACTCACAGGATATTTCTGTCCTTTGACATAATTGCCTCAAAACAGGGAGAGAATCAGAGTTCAAACAATATACGTCCATGGACTAATGGCTAGGAGCAAGTTCAGGAGGAACTGAAGCATGCACAGAGTGCTTCACAGCCAAAGCAGTGGCACACTGGCAGAACAGTTTTGAAGACAGGCAGTATTATTCAGGGAGCAAAATGACATCACTTGCCAAAATTGCCACAATTGCTACATGTCCTTTTAGCTATTATCAATATCAGCGCTCATCACACATCTGATAAATGGGAAGTTTTGAAACAAAACACTGTGGTCTCACACTACTAGCAGAGGAAGCCTAGCTAATACGATTTGTATCAAAGGCATCAGCTCCTTCCATTACATGCAGCATTTCCCATCTGATGGCTTAAACACTCTGTATGGCTCAAGACCTAAGGAGCCTGCAAGCTTGGGTATAACAACCAATCATAGAATCATAGAATGGTTTGGGTTGGAAGGGACCTGAGAGATCATCAAGTTACAACCCCCCTGCCATGGGCAGGGACACCTTTCACTAGACCAGGTTGCTCAAAGCCTCATCCAACCTGGCCTTGTACACCTCCCGGGATGGGGGCATCTACAACTTCCCTGGGCAACCTGGGCCAGTGCCTCACCACCCTCACAGGAAAAAAATTTCTTCCTAATATCTAATCTATATCTGCCCTCCTTCAGCTTGAAACCATTACTCCTCATCCTATCACTCCACTCCCTGATAAAGAGTGCCTTCCCATCTCTCCTGTAGCCACCTTTCAGTACTGGAAAGCTGCTAATAAGGTCTCCCCAGAGCCTTCTCTTCTCCAGGCTGAACAACCCCAACTCTCTCAGCCTGTCCTCATACGGGAGGTACTCCAGCCCTCAGACCATCTTCATGGCCCTCCTCTAGCCCTCCTCCATGGCTCCAACAGGTCCATGCCCTTCCTGTTCTATGGAGTCATATTTTTGTTTAGAATTAGCACTGATAACTGTTTTTCCAACATGTTGTTTGGAACTTGAAAATCTTCATACACAGACTGACTATTTCAAAAACTAATCCTCTTTCCATTAAAGCTCAAAAAAATATGAGTAGCCTTTAAACCACTGTCACTTAAGATACAACCAGCAATAGCAAAATTGGAAATTAAGTGGGGGGTGAACCCAAAACTCAGAAGAATAGAAAACTGAGCCTGACCTTTGTGGACCTTCAAAGTTTCAAGTAAGCCCTCATTTCCACATCTGCCTTCCCATTAGCACTCTGCACAAAGCAAGCACATTACTTCCCCCAGCAACCCATCTTCCTTCCCTTTTGGAAAGCAAAGCGGAAAAGAAATCAGCTGACCTTCTGAACAGTAGTAGTGAGATCCAAGCAGAGCTGAATGATTCTGTTCTTCATTGATGAAAAGTCAGCAATACCTGTAAATGGGGTCCTGCAACAAGAGAAAATTCCCCTTAGATCAAAGGGACCAATCTTCTCCCATCCTACCTTATCAGCAAGGAATAGCATGTGAGACCAAGAGCTGCAACTGACATCCATACAAGCAAGCACAAGGACACAGTTTTACAATATAAATATTCCTGACTGCACAGTCCCGCTCCATCCTTGGGCCGAAACTGGTGAATGTTCAGCCCTGTGGTAAGCAAGTTCAGAGAGCAAAACCAGAAGAAATGGTCAATTTTCTAAACTACAGTTCTCTCAGTTGCATGCTCAAGTCAGACCACACTGTTGTAAAAAATCACTCCTTGGATTTGCCAGTGAGTAGATTTCTACCTTCCAAGTCTTTGATTACTAAACTCAGACTGGAGAGAAAAAGAAAAAAACAACTTCTCTAAAGAAGAAAAATGGATTTTCACATTTTACACACAGAGGTGCAGTAAGGCTCAAGCTTAGAAAGGATCATTACAGGTAGGGCAGCTTTAGAGCCTACAGAGTCTCACCTCTGACCCTCCAGACAGCTGAAAGGACTAGAAGGGGAGTTCAGAAGTAACCCCAGCAGGTCTGGAAATGGACAAGCCAGCCACCCTGCTGACAGTAAGTTGCACAAGAAATTTAGGGCAAGCAGCCAGCAACAGGGTGAAAGGAGAGGACCCGGTGAGAGGCCCAAGCTGTTAACGTCACTGCCTGGACACAGAACTGACTCCTTGATGGAGAGCAGGGATACTGAAGGATAAAAGCTCTCCTTGCTGCTGGTCCCCACGCAACAATCCTCCTGACCTTTCTTCTCAGGAAGGCTTGCAAGGGGCTTAAGAATTTACATTCATCTGTTATCCTGACCAGCATCCTAGCCAGCACCCGACTGGCTCTGTTGCCTTTCTGCTTCCGCTGCAGCTGTCACCAAAAAAAAAATCCAGCTCTTGCCAGGAAATAAATAAATAAATAAATGGCAGAGGAACAGTCTCTCCCACTGCTCAGTTTTCACATCATGGAGCTAAGGCCATAATTTCAACAAAACATTTAAAAAACCTTTTAGAAAGGGACATGCCAATGACAAGCAAGTTAGAAGATGAGAGAAGAAGTCATGTGTATGAGAAACTGATGCAAAACCAGGTCATCTCCCCTGAATGGGAAAACTGCTATTTTAGAGATACCAGTCTGGATGCAATATTAACGGTTTCACTGGTTTTAGCAAGCCTGGAAGCTCAAGAGTAGATACCCTAGATTAAATTTGTCCACTGGTAATATCAAAAAAAAAGGGAATGAGCAAGATCAAAAAGATCTTTATACCAAAGCATCTAGAAATTGCCCTGCAAAGGGAAACAATTAATTGTAAATTAAAATATAAGGATTTTTATCTTACCTGTCCAGCCATGCAAGCAAGGCTTTAGCAGCACCAATAAGCTCTACCACAGAAGTAAGGAATTCATTGGGGGGCTTGCGAGAGGTATTTCCATCATAATTTGAACTTTTCCTACGGCTGCTGATGTAATTTTGCAGATTGTTGGATGATGCTCGCAGCTTAAGAACCAGGTTCTTCATATTGTCTGTTTCAAGGCCATAGTTCTGCAAGGAATATTAAGTTTGATAAGTCTCCCTATTGAGTCCTATTTATTATACCCCAAGTTACAAACTCATCTGCAATTAAAGGTCTGAGGATTTGCCCATTTTTTCCTGTTTTTTGGCAAAAATGCCTTCTAAGATTTGTTCTACACTACAGCCACTAAAGAATGATTTTTTGGGTGCCAAACCCCCTCAGTTTCTGACATTAATGAGATCTGATGGCACTTTTCAATCAGAATGAAACCCCAGAGTCCTATCAGATGTCATTTACCTTTAAATGTAAATGTAACAGGATTGTGTTGTTTTTGCTAAAGGAAAGCAAAAGCTAGTTTTTCCTAAAATGTTTTCTGTACTGTGGTACATAAACAGTGAAATAACATTTCATTCACAACTAAAGATAAATTTAATCTGGCAAGAGATAAAAACATCTACAGGAAGCAAATGTAATTTCACAGTCAAAAGCTGGAATAAATATTTGGATCACAAGTTTTCAGTAACTGTGCCCCTTGATTACAGCACTGCAATTACTTGCAAGCTCGAGGACTTTACATAGTAATTAAAAACATTCTTAGACATCATATTTTTCATTCAACAGTATCTTTATAAAAATATTTGAAACATAAAGAATCTGTAAGTATTGCCTGTAACTTCAGCTTTATAAATTCAAATACAACTAGACCACACTCTAAGATTAAAACCCAACTGTTTTAAGCAACACATTGATCACCTCATTCCAAACTCATCAGAAATGCTACATTCTATCTGCTCTGAAGGCAACTCAATTTTGCAATCAAAATTTTCTTTTTGCTGTCAGTATGCAAATGTGTGAGTTACATAGCAATATGTTGCCAAGTACCTTTGCTTTTGAGTTATCCCTCCTTGCAAAACCTCTGTGGCCACCTTCTGAAAGTTAAGACCCTGGCAATGCTTTGCTCTTTTAGAGTGAAAATTCCTACTGTTCTGACAACAACAACAAAAAAACCCAACCAACCCACAACAAACAAGCAAAACAAATCACTCAAAAAAAGAAAACACAACAAACCAAAAAAACCTGCCTTTCTCTATTCTTTTGCTGCTGCAGCAGATTCTTGCAACCAACCTCTAAGTTCCATAGTTTATCAGCTATATTATCTGGTCTTTCTTCCTTTCCCTGTCAAAAAACTAAAGCAACTAAAGTAAATTTAATTCCATGCAATTCCAAGTTTCCAGGGGTTCCCAACACCTCCACTTTGGATCACAGCATCACCCAGGCTGGAAGGAAGCTCAGGAGGTCTCAGGCCACCCTCCTGCTCACAGCAGGCTCAGCTGGGAGCTCAGACCAACTCATTTAGGACTTTATCCCATCAGGTCTTAAAAATCTCCAAGTACAGAGACTGTACAGCTCCTCTGGGTGACCTGATCCTCTGTCCGACTGCCTGCAGGGTGAGAAAGTGTTTCCTCAAACCCAGCCTAAACCTCTAGTTCCAAAGTCTCCCACTACACGCCACCATAAGCAGCCCAGATCTGTTCATTTGGGCCGCATCCACTCACGGTAGGTGCTGGGGGGGCTCTGTCATCCAGACTATGTACACCCATGGTAGGTGCTGGGGGGCTGCTATTAAGTCTCCCTGAAGCCATCTCTTCCCCAGGCTGAAGAAGTCCCAGTCCCTCAGCCCTTCCTCACAGGCTCTGACCAACCCAGTAGCCCTCCACTGAACTTGCTCTGGTTTGTCCATGTCTTTCCTGTGCTTGGGGGTGAGGGGACATATGTAAACTAATGAGTAAAGGTCGATAATCACTTCGCTCCCTCTCCTGGCCACGCTCCCAGTAATGCAGACCAGGATGCTGCTGACTTCTTTGCTGCCAGGGTACACTGCTAGCTCCTGGCTCCATTTCCCCCGTGGTCAAGCATCCATGAAATAGGCTGGAATAACTTACACCAAGTGAGTTACAAGAGATGAATCAGAACCTTTGCCCCAAAAAAACCCACTAGTGTAAGGAGGGGTTTCAGCTACTCAGCTACCTTTAAGATACCTACCACCTCCTATGGATAGGATCCCAGTGGGTGCAGGTTACACAAGTGCTTCCCTCCTGCCCCTGAGGGCTCTTGGCAGGGAAGTACTCTTAAAGCCTAGCCAGGAGTAGGAGTTGAGAGGATATGTCCAATTAAAAAAAAATTCCAAATGTTGCAACAGCAAAGGATATCCTTAAATTTTCCAGGATCACAGAGAGGGAAAGATTTGGATTACTAAACAATGTAAAAGTACTTGCATACTCTCATGTGTAAACGTATCAATTTTAACAAAATACCCCAAAACAAACAAAAAAAACCCCAACCAAAAAAACAAGAACATCATTCAGATGCATTTCTTGCACTTAGTTTTCTCTTCCTCACAGGACGTTCCAGATTAGTCTATTTTTGGAGGAATACTTTTTTTACCAGCAGGTCTGGCTGTGGGTTAAATTCCTGTGAACAGAAGAATTTGGAAGTAGCCACATACCAGAAATCTCCCCCTTTAATGGGGAAATGGAGGACACTGCCCCCTCTCTTTCCAAGGAAGAGAAAATACAAAAGATTTTTTTTTTCTCTACAGTGATGTAACCATCTAATCACTCTGGTCAGAACTTCGGAGAGCCTTCATGTATTTAACTATCTCCAGATCTTTGTCATTCAGGCGCAGAAATTGTTCCTACCTCTTGTTGGTGTCTGCGATTAGACAAGGCCCCAGCATTTAATAGGACACATACTGATACACCAGCTCAGATTTTGATTTTGGCCCTAAAACATTCATATGCACCTCACTGCACCTCTTTCACCTTATTTATACAGTGGGTCAGACCAGTGTGACTTTTCCAGTTCAGCTAGTCTTTAAATAATTCTGTCAAGTAGTTCTCAGTTTTGTGGTGGATTTCAGCAACACAGGTGTAGCCAGCCTCTGGAGACAGAGGAGCTCCAGCTTGTGACTACAACTGGCCTCCCCAGCAGCCTGCCAAGAGCACATCACAGCCAAGCGCTCCAGTCACTGCACTAAGCTTTCCTGCAACTTCTCCCAGGGAGTCCACAGAGTGCACTTAAGATATCTAAACCACCATGCCTGTCCAGCACAACAGAGAGCACACAGTTCATCAGTACAGGTGACCAAATTCTCCAAATTTGACCTGTTTGCTCTAATACACAGAAGACGTTATGCCCCTTCACTAGACACAGCAATGCTTCTATCCAAGCTGATGCTATCTGACCACCTCACACATCACCACCTATTTCTGCTGTTTTTCTGCTCCGTCACTTGCAGTGTCCAGTCTGTTAGGAGGGCTCATTTGAGGAATTAAACAATTAAAAAAAAAAAAATTTCTTTTTCACAGTGGTGTGTTCTCAGCTGGTTTAGCTCCCCGAAGTAGCTCACCTGAGGGTTAGGTAGGTACAAGCACAAAAAAATAATCACTAATCAGAGGACAGGAGGGGGTGGAGGCAGCAGCTGACTTGTATTAAAGTTGTCACAGAGCTGTAGCCCCAATTCAGGACAGATAGGAATGTTGATAGTGTGGCAGCACACCAAACAGCCTTCACAGCAACACACAGTTGAAGTGCAAAGCTTAGCAGGCCTTTTTTAAATATTTCATCAGGACTGAGGCTACAATATTTAACAGATTATTATTTAGGCAACCAAAAGGTTTTAGAAGTTGCTCATGAACCAAAGAACACATTATATTTTCCTATCACTCCCAATTTAAAACATCAAAGTTGCTTTCATCAAAACACCAGTTGAAGTCAGCGGTCAAGAGCACCTTATGTCAAACATTCCCAGGTTGTCACTCATTAACCTGGGGAGTCACATGCAGGGCTTGAACGAGAGACAGCACACACAAGAGAGCACATGCACACAAGAACACACAGTTTCTAAACTCCATTACATTTAATGAGAAAAAGTACACTGACAAAATAATTGCTCAAGGTCAGGCAGACAACAAAATTTAAAAAGAAAAAAAAAGGGTGGCTAGTCAAAGTCAAAAGAGCACAGCGGTTGTATCAGAGCTGACTTGGGCTGATCCAGAGCTCTGCTACTGTGCAGGGGCAACATCACCTTCGCCTTCACAGTCATGTTCACATGCCACAGTGTGACAAGCTGGGTCTGCTGGCTGATCCAACTGAAAACCAGCTTGGCAGAAAAAAAAAAAAAAAAGAATAAGACTGAATGCCTGCTCAAAAGGTGATCCAACTCACTGCATGCCTCTGTAAACACTAGAGTTAACACAAGGTACTGTCACAGTCACCCATTCTTGCTCTCTCCCTTGAAAAAAAAATGCATCCCAAATGGAGTCCCAAATTTCCTAATAAACATCACTAAATTTATGTTGAGACTTTAAAAAATTGAAGCTTTATGAAGTGGTGCATAGATGTAGTGCTTTTGACAAGGATTAGCCACAAAGGATAAGTCTTCACATATACATTTTCTATTTTATGTTATGATGTTATATTTTGTTGCACTGCAAATAAGCTAGCAGAACATTACTACCAGTGTAATTATTTTTAGCATTTTGCCTTTGATAATGTTCTTTTTGTTTTGTGGGGGTCTTTGGGGGTCTTTTCTTTTTTAGATTGCTGAAGACTAGTATCTCTTCTGACCTCAAGAAAAAACGGCTGCTTTTTTGCTTCCAAACTCTCCCATCATACTGTGTAGGTAAAGACTCAGAAATCTAATCCAAAGAACACATTAAAAGGGAAAATATTTGCATACAGTTTCCTGCTAATGCTTGCATTGTTTTATATTTATTAAACCCAAACAGGCAAGTCAAGGAATGATGAGTAAGCACTCGGTTTTCACCACTACTCTATGTGCTTTTTGTCCCAATTATTTGTCTGAGAAAGCTTATTTTCTGGATCCCTGCCCCCGCTTTTGTGGTTTTGCACGAGTTGAAAAAGCATATTTATGTGTTTGTTCCCCCCTAGCCCAAAAACTTCAGTCAACTAACAAATGTCTCTGTCCCATTCCTTTTCTCCCCTAAGCAAATGTTGTCATTGACAAAAAGATGGAGGCACTCAAGCTGATGTTTTTTTCCCCTCTGGGAAATTCAGTTTCTTTGATATATCCTCTAAATTCCTTAAATAAGTCTTCAACGCCTGTTCAGAAGAGTCTATTAGACCAGCTCGAGAGCAACAGAAAAGTGGTCACAAGAAACCTTGACTTTTTATCCCTGTCCACACTCTCTCCTGTTGCCTCTTCAGCTGCAGCTTTGTGGCACATTTGGCCACCACTATGAGGAGATGAACGAACACCACCTCATCACCAAAGCAGCAGAAAAAGGTGAATTCATTTCTCTTCCAGCTGTACCGGTTCTAGAGTTCACTTACTGGGGCAGCAAACACCATACCTTGCAGACATATTTTCAGCTTGGCAGCATAGCTGCCAAACAGGGCTCTAACCCTATAAAAATCAGACTGCCTTCACACTGTAATTTTAATTTTATGACTGACTGACCTACTGGAAAAGTTTGTATGGTCAATGCTTGAAAAGAGTCACCTCAGGAGAAAGATGCTCCAAAGACAGCTGCTTCACCACCTTTAGAGCTGCAAGTGTTCTTGTGGTGTGAGGGAACCAAAGCACTGATGTGAAGGAAGCTCAGCTGCAAAACTGCCAAAGGAAAACTAGACTAAAAGAAATTCTTCTCCAGGACTGGGGAACCATCAAAAGCCCCTCTCAGCCCTTCTCCCTCCATAAGAACAATTTTCAAAGCCTGACCTCAGGCTGGCCCAGCCAATGCCACATTTCCACAGTGCAAGCTTAAAGCATAGTGAGGAGGGACAAAAAAAAAAATTCCCAAAATACTGCCTTTGCTTTGTAATTCAAGGCCTCAGAAGTTAGGGAAATGTCACCATATATACACACACAAAAAAACCCACCATCCACTAAGGGATGTCAATACACAAACCCACTTTTAAAGAACTAATACAGGTAGAATAGGGAAACCTTTATTCTCTCCCACAAAAAAAAAAGACAGCAAGATCAAAAACTGTCACTGGAACTTGAAACACACCATCCCCTCAGGAACAAAATCAACAGTGATTTTATACAACAATCCCAAAAACTGAAGGGAAGGGGCATCAAGAAGGTGACAAAGGGCATACCTAAAACACGGGAATTCTCCTTCTACCTCTTAAAAGGGAACAAGGACATTTCAGCTGCAATATGTAAACTCTGCCTAATGCATTAAGTTATATTTCACAAAGGATTTCCAGAAATGAGTCTGAGGTCAAAACTTTTGTCTACAAAGGAAATTAGAAGGAAATTGTAGGAGATAAAATACAGCTTTAGATTCTGGCAGTTGTCCAGCTTTGTTCATTTTATTCTAATATTTTAAAAAGTAAGAAGAAAAAAGGTGCCTGTGGGGGCTGCCACATCCATTACTTCAGTCAGGACTGTATAAAGCATTTGCTAACTCACCAGACCCCTTCACGTGCCTAACGGATTATCCCTTTGCACAACGTGAACTGCATTTCAGGCTAATTATGTTCTTCTATTAGATTTTTCAAGGTAAACATTAAGAATTTTTGATAGATCAAATACTGAAGAGGAAATAAAATGTTTTTCAAATATAAGAGCAACTCTTTGAGAAACACTTCAGACTGTAAAAGTGATTTCATTAAATACACTTCTTGTACTACAGGCTATCCAATTTCTTCCTGGTTACAGAGTACGAATGATCCCTGTAGCACCGGTCTTCAGCAAATAAAGCATGTATCTCGCAGGCAATAAAGGCTCTCCATTTTAAGATGAGTATGGTCAGTGCTGCAAGTCTTGCCTAGTGAAGGGAAGGCAGGCCAGTGCTGGCCGAGGAATCATCGGGCAGCTTTTCCCACCCCTCTCCCTCATGTACTCATACGTTCCTCTGGCACTCATTTGTTCCCATTACATCAAAAACATCTTCAAGACTTTGTCCAATCTATGGCTTTTAAGTAACACCTGCACTAGCAAAACAATCTGAAATATTGTGGTGGGTTAACCTTGTATGGATGCCAGGTGCCCACCAGGCCCCTCTATCACTCCCCCTTCAGCAAAATAAAGGGGGAGAATAAGATGAAAAACTCGTGGGTCAAGATAAAAGCAGTTTAATTAAAGCAAAGGCCAAGGCCATGCACAGAAACAAAAGGTAAACAAAGATGTTATTCTCTACTTCCCCTCAGTAAGCCATGTCCAGCCACTTCCCACGAAAGCAGAGCTTCAGTGTGTGTAGCAGCTGCTCCTGGAGACAAACACAGTAACAAATGCCCTCCTCCTCCTGCCTGCCCTTGGCTTTTATGGCTGAGCTGAGGTCACATGGTCTGGAACAGCCAATCCGGGTCAGCTGTCCTGGCTCCCCCCCCTCCCAAGCTGTGTGACACACCCCCTGCTGGCTGCCAGGGGGCCACTCAGCACTGGGAGGGTGCTGGGGGGATGCTGACTCCAGCTCTGACAGGACCCAGTACAAATATATTTACTCTTTTCAGTGTGTTTGTTTTAGAAGCATCTGTGCAGTTATGTATCAGGAATAAGACAGAGGAATGGCTTAAGTTCCAAATCCAACGAGTTGAACTCGACTGTAACCAAGTTAGCAAAACATCCCCCATTTCATGAACATTTTCTTCACTTTGTACACAGACCACAGAATTGCCCTAAACCCATTTCAACTACTGCGAGGATCTATTAGCAGCTGTCATTTCAACAGTATGTCTTCTATTTTCTATGACAAAGTCACTCTACTCAACAGCAATTTTAATCACTCTCTTCGCTAACAGGAGCCACAAGATCTAACAACACTACTCAGACAACTCCTTTCTTCACAAGTGCAACCCAATGAATTAGCATTGCCTCTTATCAGGAAAAAGGTAAAGAGTTGTCAACACAAAGCTTGCAAGAATTAAACAAATTCTTACTGTTTTCTTTCGCCATGATGCATAGCAGAAAGCAAGAGACACAGGTATTCTGTCTGGTTTTATCAGACTCACTTTAGTTATGCACCCAAAAGAGAACTTCAAGAAATTCTTTGCATGTCTGTTCACCATGTAACTAACCAGTGCACACAGGAGATCCACAGCCTCTAGAACCAGTTCCTGGTGTCCAATCCGTGAGATACCCAAGTCTTCAAGGTCCTGGTGAGAAATCTGTAACAGCTGTTCACCATTTATCTTCTCCCGTTCAAATTTATGGACATACTGCTGCAGGCAATCATCCAGGCCTATCAAAGCACAAAAGAGAGAGAGAAGGGGACACAGTCACAAATTTCTGTCTTTTCTTCCCCTTCCCCCCAATTAATAAAAAAACCACACACCGAAACAAACCACAAACCCTTCAATAGGCACAAATGGCAAGTTCATACAATATGTGGCACTAAAGTATAAAAGAAAGAGGCAGTGAGACTCAAGCTGTTACACAGGGGCACAGAAATGGAACCCGCAGGTTTTGTGGATCTTTGGGTCACCTAAATCAATACAAGCTAAGCAGGTAAGGATGTCCCTTTGGTGTCAGCACAGGCAAAGCTACCAGGGGGCATGCATAGACTCAGTCATCAGGGTAACCCAAAACCCTGAAGGGCATCCAAAGCAACAACAACAAAGTAACTGACCAAAAAAAAAAAAAAAAGAGAAATACAACAAGGCAAGGAAAGAACAAATATCTTGACCAAAGCCTAGTTAAATAAGCAAACAAAAGCACAAAACCCCAGAGTTCCCCATTCACTTACATATAAAAGGGCTAAATGAATGATGAGAGGAAAATAGAAAAATCAAAGGCAAGGCAATCAAAATGACATTTGGCTCAAGTCTCATTATTCCCTTGTTTTATAAGACCCTTTTAGCTTCCTGAATCAACCATTCCTTCCCCTTGATAAGGATTAAAGGCAGAGACCAATCCCAAATCTAATTCACTTTTGTATCTATGAAGTATAGAAGTATATAGTGTAACATATCCCATCCCAGCAATATCCTCAGTATCCTCCCTTTAAACTGTGATTCTATGATCCTGTTTTCTACAGCATTTTCCCCCACACTGTTTAGAGAAAGGATTTCTGTTTTTCACGTTGTGTTACTTAACTAAACTTCATGTGTTAATCCTGTCTTCTTGTGTATTCTGCTCATTTCCTCTGTTCTTAAAGATCCTGCATGGAGCAGCAATCTGGGGAAAACATTTGTATGGATGTGTTATTTTAAAGATGATGCAGTGCTCTTGATGCCCTGTTCCACTTCAACATATTAGCCAGAGCAAAAGGAACAGATCCAATTAAGCATTAGATCTGTTTTGTGGAAATACATCGTGTTCCCTGAAAATAGCTGACATTAGAAAAAAATTCAGATTATATATCTGACATTTCCTTTGTAACATGCACAATAGCTACACAGTTTGACCACTCAGTTTTTAAAAAATGACCCCTTAAGCGTATAAATGATGTTTATCTACTACACTGCCTCAAAAGGAAGCCACTGAGATAGACAGGATGTCAACTGCTGCAGAGGAGAAACACAAACAGCATCCCCAACTGCAAGGGAATGAGAGCCAGAAGACCAGCACTCGGTTCCACTCCTAGAGCCGCAGCAGCAGCCTGGCAAACAAGCACTCCCAGCACACGCTGCTGCCAAGAAAACATTTGAGACAAATCACAAGGGGAGTTCTAGGAGTCACATGAAACACACTAATAACAGCAGCAAGAGCAGCCACTGCTGCCTTGCAGTGTCTGGTCACAGTAGATCTGTAGGCTATGGACTCCCAAAGACACGCGCTTACTTAACACACATCACTTGCCTTTATAACGCTTGCTCAGAAATTAATAAGGACAGACACCCTTGCACGTAACAGTCAACCCTTTACATGACTCGGGCAAGCTTAATTATTGCAGTACATCAAAATCTGGCTGAACAAGCTTGACTCCTCCATGTGCAGAGCTACTAGTGTGCACAGCTTGATTTTTAAGCATAATTATGAATGGGAAAACCTGCATGCAAGATGAGCAGAGTCTCCCAGGGCTACAGTTGTTTGGGGTGCAACTCTTGTTTCTTCCCATCTGTCTTGGCAAGGCCACATAAATTTTGAAAATTGAGCCCTGTGTTCTCTTTCCCACAGGCACCAAATTCTTCCTTAGGCTATATAAACTCTTTTCCCAGGAAAAAATAATAAAAAGATCTGGCCTTCATTGTTAACAATTTATTTTTTCAAAACAAATTCTCAACCGAGGCTGACATACAGTGCACATATTTGGCATTCCCAATTTTTAATGCTGTCTTGCAGGCCACTGTTTCCCATCATTTGCCATCGTAAAGCCCACAGTTCCCATTACAACTTACACAAACGCCTAAAATAAAACACTTTATTCAGCATGCAGTGAAGTTTGCATTGAAAAAACTTAAAAAATAAAATGTTGCTTTTGCCTACTATCCTTTCCGTGTGTTGACTCAACTTTCTCGATCCTGATTCTGTGCTAAAACATGAGACTCACAAACGTATGTATCCCCTCCAAGAAATACAGCTATGGCTTTCAGATTGCCTGTGCTTTTTTTTCTTTTAATTTGTATTTGCCTGTTCCTGAAGGTCTATTACAACAGCTACCTCTAAAATATTTTTTAATGACTCCTTAAAAAATAATACTTCAATCACACCATGAGACCATATTTTATAAGATAAAACATTACAAAATCACACAAGTGTTAATTCAAAACAGTCAACACACAGGCAGAACCACTCAGCTAGAAATGTATTTAATAATATTAAATGACCAAAACTATGCAAAGCAGGAAGTGAAGACAGACACTCATGGCAAGAATTCACTAATGGTTTAAGATGAACTTATAACATTAGTGTAGTTATTATTGTTATTAAGAAACATATGGAAAAATCTTAAACATTAATTGAGATTGCAACCACATTTTATAGCCTATTGTTTAATTTTCCCTTGTATGAATGAAATGTTTAAACATCATATACAAACTAAAAAATTCCTATTTCTCCAAGAAGGAAAGGAGAAGGGAGGAAAAAAGGACTCATAAATCAGTTGAGTAAAATAACGTAAGTAATATTTAAGTAAAGTTTAAAGAGTCAGCATTCAAATGCCACTGGTAATCTAAATGAACCACTCATATTTTCCTTCTTCCAAACATCTCTGTTCTTGCCATGTATTCTCTCTGTGAACTTCTGAATGCCACATAGACTTGGTATTGCCCATTAGCAAAGTGTGGATATTTTTGAGAAACTTAGATGAATTTAAAACTACAAAAATCAGTCTACATTACTCAGAAAGCCACTTTCTTACATGCCAGGCCCTTTTTGACAGTGCAATATTAGCAGATTCAAGGAGAAAAATAGTTTTCTCTATTTCCAAAAAAAATACAATTAAGACTCTGACATTGGAAAAGACACCTATATTTATCTCCTTTACCCATTGAAGAGCTCCTCTGAAGTCTAATCTACTCATTTAATGCTCAAAGTGTATTTAAAAAGTATTTGTCACAATTGCATGTGAGCAATATTATATTTATTTATATTATTCCTTGCACATCCATCAAAACAATGCATGAAAGATAATATCCTTCCTATTTTCATAATTGTTATGGAATGAGGGAAGATGGAAATAGAAATAGCAATTGCAGAATGTTACCCAAGTTTTACAACAATTGTAGCAGTGATTTGGGAGGAAAAGAGGGAGGAGAGAGAGAGAGAGAGAGACACTAGTCTAGTTAGTGTTATTCATATTGTGAAAATCCTTCTCAGGAACTGCAGTGTAACTTGAACAAAACTCCCTCCCAAATTTTGGCAGGTGTAGAGATGTGCAATAGATCCTAAGAACTGTCTAGACTTTTCTGTCTAAAATAACTTCCCACCACCATGCAAAGCACCCCAGAAGACATTCAATACCTCACATTCATGTGAAAACATTAGCACAGGTCTTACGCTTACAGATTTGCACCGATACCAAGCTCAGTCTGTTTCCAAGATCGAGAAAGATATTTTGAATAAGAATTGAGGGGAAAAAACAACTTTGAGGAGGTGAAGGGGGAGGGTTGGATCTGAGCCATAACTATCAGTTTACTACTCAGAGAGAATTAACATTTCTACTGTTGATAGATGTCAGCTTTCAGCAATAACATATCTGACTCCTAAAGTACTTCACACTTTTTGCTCAACTTCTATGTTCTTCTATGTTCGATATTACCAAATAGTTTACCTACCACGAAGCAATAAAAACAATTAACTAATGTATTATGGCCACAGGTCCAGAACTAACTGACTCACCACCTCTTCTTTCCTCCCACCATCCCACTCTTGCTCACTCTCTTCTCCTGTAAGACCACAGAGGCTATATATTCCAATACAGGGGGACAGGGAGGGAGGAAGGAAGGGGAAGCGGAGATAGACAGGGCAAGGAACTGAAGAAGGAACAGGGAGGGGGAACTGGAAGGTCATGGGTATAATTTTCCATTAGTTCTGGAACTTGAACAGATACTCAGCTCATAAAATGCCAAAGCTGACACAAGGAAGCGGAAGGAGCACAAGCCACTTGAACAGAGGAAGAACTCATAAGTACAAGACCTTCTTCTTCACAAAGCACTACCATGGGGATTACTGCTCAATGCCTCAAGGAAATATAACCTTATTGTTATGAACGTGTACTCAATCTCTTCTCTGTTGAGTGACTCTAACAAACTGGCAGCACTTGGTGTCTCAGGGCAGCACCAATGTTCAGCTACAACCCTCAGCCTATTGAGGGGTCCTTTGGACCTTGGATGGCTCACTAGGTGGGACTGCCAAAGTCTTGTTGTAAGAATCTGACCTTCCCACCCAAGAAGGTCTATTCACTTGCCACTTTTAGTGTCCAAAGACTGGCACACACCAGCCTCAATCCATCCTCCCAGGCTTTGAAAGATCATAAGTTCTAGGAGAATCTTTGACATACCCCATGATAGGTACCATTATACTATCATTTATATTCCACATCATTTTGTAACTGTTATTGTGATAGCTTCTTCCCTTCATTTCCTCCATCTATTTCCAGGACTAGAAGAAATTAATAAAAGAAAAAGCAGGAGGGAATCAAGGCAGCAAAGGAACACTAGAAAGACAAAAAAGCTACTTCATATGCAGGTGAAGCAGCACCTGAGAAAGCAGATGAAAGTAAGGAAAAAGGGCCTGCAAGACAGCTAGGAGAAGCTGAAGCAGCTCAATAGGACAAGTACAGGGTGAAAAGCAAAAAAA